ATATAGTAATATAGTAAGAAATAGATTTTGCTTATCCAGCATGTACCACTAGATTCAGTTTTGCATGATATGTTAAATAATATATAAATTCCCTGAGAATACATCTCAATGTAAAAATCATTCTAAGACGATGAAACAATTTTTGGGGTTGTTACAATATGGGGTCCTATTGTTATGTTATCCAGATGTTGCTAATGTCGCGAGTCTTGCCTGGAGGTACGGAGTCAAACAGCGGTATACAGGGCTGACATTCAAAGTACTACCACTCGGTAGGCTTGTGTAGTGTTATGCCTCCTCGGCACCAATATCCCTGGTTGCAGCGCAATCGTCTTGGCAAGCAATTAATGAGCTGCCATGCTCAATTAAGAATATATACTTGCCATCTCAATTGTTGATGAAGCCTCATAGCGTCAAGCATCAACGTAAGGCAGTTACCTGCTGCGTAGCATTTATGTATCATATATGTCGGAAAGGTAGGTGAAGCTCATTATCGTGAAGTGGATGAGCCATATATTATAAACGATTACTCGAAAAAAAAAATATATATATATATGTAACGAGCCTTGCATACATTCAGTAAACTACCTGTTAAACCGTTTGCTACATGCTAAAGATGCTAGATCATATGCGTGGACTGTCAAGTCGAGAAAATTATCTTGAGAAAGATTCGATAAATCTCAACTCGGGAATAAGATATATAAAAATGTAAATAAAGTCAAGGAAAATAATTATGTTCTTTTTGTCGGATATTAATGTAGCTTATTAGATAGGACTACCAATACTGGCTCTTTTCTTCTCTGTTTTACAAAGTCACTATATTTCACAAAATATTTTAGTATATTTTGTGAAATTGCCACGTAATTGATATAATATATTTCTGTTTATCTATATATTTTTTGTATTTTATGAATAAAATGTCCTTACCATGTCTCGCTCTTTCTGTTGCAGAAACGAAGTCAAGATGCAGCAGGTGGACACCATCTCGCAGAACAATTCTGTGAGTAATTAGTATTTTAATTCTTTATATTTTGTTAGCGCAGAATACAGCTGGCTTACTAACTCTATGCAATATTTTAAAGCTGCATTAAATCCTGTAATATATCCATACTATCCATCAATTTCCCAGTTTTAACGCATTACATATTACACAGCATCAGTATTCACGGCATAATGTGTGAAATCATATAAACAGATTGCTTTCACCTAACTTGAAATAATTGGGAGTTCCAAAATGTATATAAATTACATGTTTAATATTTTGTAATGTCCATGTAACATCTTGTAAATTATTACTTTGCTATGCGATCGTGTCTGTGTAATATATTTTATATTTATTTTTATCAATTTCTCTATGTTTGGACATACAATTCCTATTATTGTTTGCATTTTCCATTCCTTGCATAACACTCGATATAAATCTTCTAACATACTAAAAAAAAGAGCGTTGTTTGACTGAATAGTATGTATGAATTGCAGTTAGATGTGGAGGAGCGAGAAAGGCTGTGTAATATACCGAAGGTGAGAAACCTTGCTGACTATGGTTTCGATTAGGATATATTGTTGAAATATGAATTGGCAACTAATAATTCGTGCTGTTTCAAATAATCTATAAATCTTGCTTTATTCTCTATTAGTCTATAAATAATACAAGCATAATTCTAAATAAATATTAATACGAATAAAAAAAAAATTGATAATACATATTTTAAAATATTGTCACAAATTATTAATGTTATATTATTGTAGAGGCAAGATTCTTTTCGCTTTGCTCACTATATCTAGCACTCATGTAGCATAAACATTTCCCATATTAGTATTTATAGCTTATATGCTATATATTTTATGCAATATATAAACGTGTAATGTTTTGTTTCAATTATTGTACAAATTATTTCTGATTTAACGATATGAAAATTTCTTACAATTTTGCATGAGCTACACGAAAGTGCCATTATATTTCATTTCCAAATTCTCACTTTTAAATGCTGTTATGGTCTCTAGTAACGATTTTCTTATGCAGAATTTCAAATCGCTTGCCTGTGGTTATGGGAATTAAATATTTAGCAGCCTAATTCGCTCGTTGCATGGATGGAATCATTACCTTACAATGCATTCCATTAATAGTTTATATATTATATAAAAATTTATTTTTGTTTGTTATTTTATAGAATAGGTCTAATGCAATTTTTTCTTAATCTAGTATTGTAGATTTATATATTTAGCTATTAATATTCTGCATAAATAAATGCAACATAACACACATGTACACGAGTAGCGTTCTCAGATGGAGGGACACAGATCCTACGCATGCGCAGTGATGCGCGCATTAGCAGACGCGCTTAAGCTCTCCGTTACACATCTCGCTCCTTTCTCAATTCGTTTTCCCTCCAAAAATCAGAGTCGAGTAATGTAATTAAAACGGGTAGATCTTTTCGTTAAACCCCTACACTGAGAAAAAAAAATCGTAGATTCAAAGAAATATTATTTGATTCAACTAATGCAGCAGTCACGGGCTGTCAAGCTGCTAACATTTGTTAATTTAAAAAATATTATATTTAAATAGATTCAGAATTTCTTGATATTACTCACGTATATTTGATTTAAATATATTAATATTTGCATTAAACAAATCACTACAACTAAACGAGTTTAGTCAAATTTACAACATTTTTTTCTCAGTGTATGTACCTTCGTTGGCATGACAATGCATAGATCCTTAAAGTATTCTTTTTGGAAAGAGATCTTTGTTCAAAGATCCATTGTCTAATAAGAAAAAGTCCTCTGTTGCTTTCTAAAATTCAAGATCCGGTATTGCTGTTAGAGTGTCCAGACCTTTTGTTTTGTATCATTGTTGTCAAGATTGATGGATATATGGTCAACGTGAAAATTATTAAAATTTTTGGAATACCGACCGAATATTCTGGTGAAAAAAAAAAAACATTTCAATTTCCATAAGAAGTTCTCTGTACGTTGCACTTTCTCTTTGCTTTCCCTATTCAATTTTGCCTTCAAAAATCAAACTCAGGTAGTGACTATTAGGAAGGACAGAGACCTTTTGTGTTTAACCATGCAGCTACCATTGTTGGTGGAAAATGGTTAGTTTAAGGATTTCCAAGAGCATAGGGATTTTGAAATAGCAATGTCCAATCTTATTGGACATTGCTTTTCCTACTCTCGGCAAATAAGATCTATTGGTCGAATCGGAATGCATTTTAAAATTAACGTTCCTCGCAGCCTCGCACCTCGCTGTTCATTTCGACGCTGATCGTATACCGAGTAGTTACGCGTGCGTTGCCGTCCATTAAAACTTAATTCCGTCCATTTGCAATAAAAGTTATTATTATAGTGCTTCTGGAAGAAAATGGAATTTCAAAAAAGGGAGCATTATATGGTAATTGATGTTTCTATTAATTGCTTATAATTTAATTCTTTACATTTACAAGATTTAAAAAACGCAGAAAACCTAATATAATCTAGCTTGGTTAGTGTGTAGTGAACATGTGGTTTTATATTTTTTTCCTAGGAATATATAGAATTAAACCATACAAAAACTTTGGAAAAATTATTAGAATTTAACTTATAACTTAATTTAATTTGACTTATAATTTAATTTACTTACAATTAACTTATTTTTTTAATTTTTAAGTTAAATTTTGTACAACGCAATCGGTCAGATTTAATATGAAGTTTAATCTATTATTATATTTATTGTTAGCCTAAATAACAAAAAAATAGAAACTGTTTGGCATTTAA